AGGGTTTTTGCAGTGTTCGTGCTTGCTTACAATCTGCCAGACCCACTTTCAGCCTCCCTAGTCTTGAAACAAATATTTTCTGACAATTCCTTTTTCTTTAAAATGAGCTGTCGATAAATCGTAGGAGGAAAACCATATCACTAAATATAATCAGGATTGAAATTGTTTGTTTTCACAACTAATGCTGGCAAGAGAAGGATGGTCGGTCGAAATGGCCGTTTAAGATGAAATTACCATCTGATGTGACATTGAACTTTTATCAGGAATCCATCTTCCATATCTGCTGCGGGCCTCTGAGGAAATTTACGTGGGTTTTGGGGCAGAGGAGCGGTTAAGTGTTCATAGTTGAAACGATTTCCAGGCATATAGCTGCCCGGAATATTCAGACTGCGTTAAAGTGGGATCACCTTGTAGACTTGAACCAAGCCAGATTACCGGTGCGCTATAAATTCGCATTCGGAGCAACTTTCTTCCGTGAAGTCCGCTCTCTACTTCCAGAATTCATAGCGGCTTATTGAGGCAGTGAGGCTCTACACCGAATTGAGGGGGTCAGCCGATGTACAAGCCAGTGTCTCCGCCCTCCCAGACGACACTGGTATTAGCTCAATGTCGGGAGCTCAGGGAACTTGGTTGTTCTAGGTGGGCCATGCCGGGGATTTCAAAAAGACATTGGTGATAAACTAAACGGGTTGGTGTTCTAGTTATTCAGGTCAGAGAGAGCCAATTTCTTGGACTCGTCGACGATCTGAAGCGGGGTAATTTCATAGTAAGATTAACTGTTACACATTTCAGCATGATCATTGCCAATCGTCAGTCATTAGATGATATGGTAGAGCCTGTGAACCCTCTCACAAAAATGAACAACGAGGGTCATTATCTGTTCTTCTGTAAACCTGATAGTAAGTTTTAGTCTATACTGAACCTTCCTTTTCATTTTTTTCCTCGTTGTTTTACTCTATTTATTTTTACTTGTCACGCTTTTTTATTCCCGTGAACATTGACGAGTTTATAATTCAGATCAAATTTATGGCCTTTGGTTCTTTTCTACGGAGGATTGCACACGGATGTATAATCTGCTCAAAAAATTACAAGAAGATATTAGAGCTGGCAAGGTGAGCATCGCGACATTGAACAATTCACAAAAGCGAGGGAAATCAATTTTGTGTGCTAATAACCTCAAAAGGGGCATTCGAGCGGCTTAAGCTCCATTTGTAAAAGTGAGATTCACACAGTGGAGATGAGGATCTTGCTCAAGCTCGAAGGTTGGACCTCCTTTAGTGTTGGTGAACCAGTTTAAAGGCAGTTGGCACGATGCTAATAGGGCGCCATACAGAGGGGGCCAAAAAAGTCACTTCGACCGAGTCACATATCAGCAAAGTTTTCGCAGCCCAGAGAGAAGACGTGGATACGAGTACCAGGGCGGAAGATACCCAAGATGTTCCTCTATAAGCAGGAGCTGGCTCTCGCCCATCACCTTCATGTACACCAAAATATGAAGTCATCTCCAGTCGCAGCCTGACTGGAGAAGACCTTTGGAATTCATGTCACCTCCAAACAGCTGCGAAACTTCTAGTGTGGAGTCACCCATGGGTAGCTACCTGGAGACCAGTACTCTCGATCTGGAAGACCTCCATCATCGAGCAGCTCCGACAACGTCGCGGCGGTCTAGGAGATCATCTTCACCTCAGTCGCTAAGGCGCCAGT